TAGGCGACTTGTTCAGAAAAGGATGGCTTGGGCGTGGCTGTTCTACCTAGCAAAGTCTGAGCAATCAGACATTGGGTTGCTCTAAGATCTCTCTTTTGAAGGCCATGGACTTGAAGGAAACAGGACCAGGGGGCACCTACCTGCCCCACACCCGACCAGAGTGAAGAATCCAATCTTAAAGACTCTGAAGAAACCAACAACTGGCACACAAGGCAAACTCACCAAAGGATTTCCCATAGATTCTCAGCAACATGTCCCTCAACATGGGGAACAAAACATCATCTCAATACAGGTGATGCTCAACAATAGATGCCCCATGATGCCCAACTTTAGCCAACTATAAATCTATCTCCAACCAACAACACCATTTAAAACATAAGCATATGAGGAAACAAACACTATGAACATGGGCAAAGCCTGGTGAAGCCTTGGACAGAACACAAGAACCTCAATGGAAACAAAACGATTCTCCAGCCCACGATTCTCCGCCCGCCCGCCCTGCCCTGGTTAAGCCGAAAAAGAAAAAAAACTCGTTCTCCCAAACCTCGCCGAAGATTCCAAACAAAGGAGGAAGTCCTTCACGTGCCGATCCTGGCCTAGCGTCCGCACGGCGCCGCGGAGGAGAGAAGGAAGAACCCGAGAAGGACGACAGGACGTTCGACGAGTGAAGTGGACTTGCCTTGTGGAAGATCTGCCTTTTGGTTCCATAACCTTCAGGGAAACCACATATATCTATAAGATATTGATCATATATACCAGCACCCTGCAACAGGTCTCCTCTGGTAGCTTTTGGATACTTAAAAGTGTCAAGTGGTGACCTGTGAAGTCGGGTGCTGGTATTATATTCGCCCAGGCACTCACACCTTTCTTCCACTCTCGCACGGTGCCCAAACCTGGTATACGCAAGGTTCATGTCACCGACCGCTCTCTCTCTCTCTCTTGATGGTTGGTCCAAAGACGTCCCCCACAGAAACCTTCGACTGCGGGTGTCAAGACCCAGATGCGACGGTCCTACCTGGTTTGGTCGGCGCTCCGGTGATGGCACGGCAACTATGAGCTCCGCTCGTCGTGTGAGCTGAAAATCATTCAATCAAAGTCGTTGGGATGTGCGATAATGTGTCTGTGTGTTGTTTTGCAAGGAATGTTTGTACTGATCTCTCATGCAAAAAGAGTAGAAGTCGAATGAGAATAGAGTTGCATATTATGTTGTTTTCTTTCTTCAGGAACATTCAGGAACTACTTGTAATCTCACTTTTCGGTACAGTGCTCATTACAAATTGTGACAAGTCAGAGTGCCCTCCTGGCAGTTTGATGCATCAACCCGGTGATTCGTAAGGTAGGGCCAAGTCAAGAATCCCGGACCAACGCATGGACATGCTAGAACAAAAAGCACAACTTACCATACCTACCACCCTATGAAAACCCCATACAACCAGCCCCGTCGCGTCTAACGGCCCCAAGCGGCACATCCCATGGAGTCCAAGCGGCACATCCCATTGGGCAATCCCACCTCCGCTCCACGCCCAGTGACGTTCACCGCCTGCGACTGAAACGCCCGATACGCCGCCGGCTTCTCCTCCGCGTAGTCCCGCGCGGAGAGGCTGCTGGACGCGGCGTGGAGACCGGACTGCGGCGCGTGCCCCACGTAGCCCATGTACGGCGGGTAGGCCGCGCTGTAGGGCGAATAGCCGCGAGGCCAAGCCATGGTGATGAGATGAGGGAAAGTTTTAATGGTAGATTCTATGTTTGCCGAGCTGCAGGGCTCTCATGCCCTCCAATCTAGGGGGTGGCAAACCCAGTGCGATGATCTCCGGAGCCTCAGTCATGTAGCATATGTCAGTTTCAGCCTTGGAAAACCTGTGAAGCATGGTCATACACGTGTATGATGACTATCAACATGATGGTGAGTGGATCTGTGGATTGATTATATGCTGACTTGGGCATTGTTCGCAATTGGTCATCATATTCCTTGTGAGCTGCTTGAGTTTCACATGCTTTCAATTTAGTGACTTGAGAACTCCCGATGTTTATGCATGGACACCGCACTCCCTTCATCAATGTAGGCCCCTCTGCCACACAAAAATCACTTGAGCCAAACTCCAGCGAACGAACCTCTGCCCATGGAAAAGACAATTTAGGGTGAACGTGCAAAAGATGGTGATTGTCACCATGGCAAGCCTGTTGTCTTTCAGTGTGAGCGACATTGAGCGGTACTATGCAACTGACTCCAAGAGTCGTTTGCAAAAATTCCGACAAACCTGAACAACGCCCTGCCAGCAGGGCGGGTCTCCCCTGAGGGAGGCACTTCTTCAGGTAGTCCCCGGGCTGTTCAGTGTATTCGCCCCGGGGTTTGCCGAACGTGGCATGTGACCTCAGTCGCTGCGGTTTCGCGTGGTGTGCTTCTTGCGGAAGGTCGTTTCCAGAAACTCTGCTCCGGGATATCGTCAAAGGGTCTCAAATCCTGACAGTGGTTGATCCAAGAAAGCAGTGCTCGTCAAAGGGTTGATCGAAATGCTTGCAGGACTTCCTCAAGCCCCTTCGCAATGGAAAGGGAAGAAAAAAACTGATAAGATTCTATCCAGCAAGCAGGTCTCCTTCAAGGTCACCCATATGTGCTGGCCATGCCACTGGTTCGGCACGGTCTTCTCCTCGCAGAAGAACTGGGTCTTAAAAATCATCCAAGAGCTGGTCCGAGCTTGGTCATGAAACGCATTTGAAAGCCATACATGCTGGTGTTGAAAGGATGCCAACCCAACCTCCTAACTTTGTCTTTTTGTGAAGCTGGGCGTCCAACATATTTCAGGTACTTACGAGTGATGATGCGGTAGTCGGAACTGGGTTTCGGGCATGCGGTCAGGCAAGGCAGTCAGGCAGCTGGAAACGACCTTCTTCATTTAGATATTCCGGTACATGACTTGCGTAAATCAAATCATATTTATACATGGCCATACAGAACCCGCTATTCTCACATCAACATCTGATTCAAAAAAGGAGAAACAACGATTTGCCCTTGTACTCCTTTTTCCGTTTTTTTCCGCCCCGCACAAACCCGCGGTCCGAAAAGACCGTTCCGCCCCGGTCGGGGTCTTCGGGTCCTCCAAGTCGCCGGCCACGTTCGCCACTTTGGGGCAAGTCCTGGGTGCAGGGCAGGCAGTTCATCACGTGGGAACGCGGTGCAGGGCCGTGTGACGAAAGAACATCGGGCGTCCTGACGTGTCGTGGGCCCCCAAAAATAAGCGGTGGGGCCTGATGATTGCGAACACCGAAGCCTGACTTGAGCACCATAATAAAAAGAACCATCAAAATACTGAGATTTGATGGGGTGAAAGGGGATGAAGTCGCCTGTTTCCTTTGTTGTTTTCAGCACTCCCTCTCTCCTTCGTCTTCTCTCACCTCCCACCGAGCGGCGTGCCCAAGGGGCCAAAGGTGGAGCAGCTTGGTGGCTTCTGTGAGCCGTGCATGGACTTGTGCATGGGTGGCCTGACAGTCCGGTCAGACCGTTCCACGACCCGGTCCACGGAGCCGCGAAGATTCTTCGCAGGTGCGGGGGACTTGGAGGGTGGGACTTTGGTTTCAGCTGGGGCGGAGCTTTTCAGGGGCGTCGGAGCTTGAGAATGAGTGGAATGACTTGGAGGTTTGTTTCACCCAGTTCCATTGAAACACCGGCTTTGCCCAGAACCGGGGCCCCCCTGTAAGCCTATAGCATCCTATATAGCTGCCTCAACCATCCAATGACGTACTTTTTGAAGAATGTCCAATTTTCTTTGGTTTTGGTATGTTTTTTTGGTCGAGGCTATGATTTTTGGTTTTACCAATTTTCTGGAAACCAGGCACAACGGAAAACCAACTTTTTGAGTTCCCGGGCTTGTGAAGACAAACCTTGCCATGAAATTGCTCATGAGAGTTGAGAGCTGAGCTTACGCCGCTTACCGCAGAAGATGTTGGGGCGGTTTTGACAATCATCCCTTCAAACCGCGTGGCCGACAGAATGGTCATAGCCTCAGCGGTACACTTTGGCATGCAAGCGCTTTTTTTGTCTGTGACACGTCCATTCTTCACCTCTTTCAGGCAATATGCACAAATATAGCTTTACCTGCCCGCAACCTTGCAGCCCAACTGGTTCTGATAGCCTGTTGTGACTCCACCCCGCACCATGGAGCCACCTGAGTTTCCCAAATCTCTGGCGAAGGCTAGCTTTGAAGTCACGACAGCTGCACGCCAGCTCCAGCAGGATCTATATTTTTGTTGTGCTGCTGATTGTTTGTATTCTTTTGTGTGTCGCTCACTTGGTGATGAGGTCAGTGTGCTGTGCATTATATGATATGTGATTTAGAGGTTTTTTTTTGAGGTATTGAAATTCAATGAGGAGCTGTCAAAGAGCGTGGATGTGCAGAGCCGTGTCCATGGTTGCAAAGCACTCATCCTTTGGCCAGGGAAGGTCGGAGACATCAACGCTCGTAGCATCAAAGCCAATTTCCTTATTTTCAAGGTGATGGGGCGCTATGTGAATGCATCAAAGGGTGAGTTGCTGAGGGTGCCAGTGCTGGAATGGTGCTTCAAGTGCCTCAGAAAGTACTGGAAGGAGTGGCTTTTGGTAGAAGTCAAGAAACACCTAAGATACAATAACAACTGCGACAAGCGAACACAATCACCGGTAGAAACCTTGCATGTTCAAAAAAAGATCGGTCTATTTTACACATAAAATTTCGAGTTGCGCAGGAGCAGCATAATTTGGACTATGCTTTGCCTAAGACAAAGACTGATGCGCGGTCGATCAAGAAACTCTGTCTGTATCTGCGCCGTCTTCGGCTACGAGCTGCCAACCAGCGGGATGACGATAACCAGGAGTTGGCAGAGTCTTGTCATTTCTGTTTGAGAGACGTTGTTTTTGTGTGCAATGTCTGTACTGTTTGTGAGACATTGTTTTTGTGTGCAATGTCTGTACTTGTTTGATACACATGTTTCCTTCCATAGCCATTTTGCGTGGAACCAAGGATTTGATGTTTGCCTATCTTCCTCAGCGTGAGGCAGGACAGGATGATGCAAATGACACGGACGTGGAAGCGATGCATGATGATGGGGACGACCAGGAGGGTGAGTGTGAGGATGAGCATGAGATTGAGAGCGGCGCAGAAGAGGATGCGTCCCCAACAGACATTCCCGATGATGAGAAACCAGAGCCTGCTACACCTGTCGCCAACGGGGTTCCCAGCGGAGTGGATGCTGATGGAAGCTGCGGGCCAGGTCCCACAGAAGATGTTGGGCCGACTCTTCCGCCAGACTATGAGTTGCCGGAGTGGGCGCAAGCTCCGCAATCAGTTTCCGAGACTGACTTTGCGGAATCTGGCCTTCAAACACTCCTGCTGCCACATGAGCAGCCTGAGTTGCTGGAAGCGCTTCATGTTGAGCCGCATCACTTGACAGCCAATGAGTCTTCTTTTTTGGGCAAGGACTCGCTAGATATTCTGAGAACAAATGAGAACTTCAAGCACCACATCTTGGACAATCTGGCTGAGCGCCTGAAAGCTGGAGTTCAACCGTCTGGGGATGAATGTGTGGAAGAGGTGGCAAGTTCTCAGGACAGACATGGACAAATCACATGTTTTCATGTTGGTGTTCACAAATTTGCCACATGTGTACTTTGCAACGGCTGTTCCATCAAGAAAAATATCATATATGGTTGTTTGGACTGACATCCCCTGTGTTGCAAAGGAGCCTGTCCAGATTGACAATGAACTTTTGGCTCCTGGTGCTCCGACATCAACCAGTCCGGCTTTGGGTCTTGACAAAGCAAGCGCACCAGGCAAGATCGCATGTGCTTGGTGTGGTTTGCATGTTTGCTGGCGCTAGTTCGCTGTTTCTCATAGAACCATTAGACTTTGTAATTGTTGTATTCTTTTTTCGGCTTTGTGAAATTGGAGGCGGTTCGGCGGAGTTGATGCGGGAAGTCAACATGCTGAAGACCAAGCTGATGTCCAAAAAGGTTCAGAAGTTTAACCCAGATGTGATGGATACACTGCCAATGGATACTCAAGTCATCAATGATGCTTGTCAAACAATTGATTTGTTTGCACTTGATGTCTTGTCATTTGTTGCTGATGTAGCCATTGGCTACTTACTTTAGTTGCCGTGATATAGTCTCAGGAAGCGGTGGCAAGGGCAAAATCCGTGGGCAACTTCGACGAGGCAAGGACAACCGCATGCACAAACGTGCACGCTTGCGATCCTGATGCATGTGATGAATACAATATAATATAGTTATCGATCTATTTTCTTCTTTCATTGCCTTCTTGCAGGTCATGGAGATTCCAGATTCACAGGAAGTGCCTCTTGGACGCATAGGCAAAAAATCAAGTCGAGATAGAAATTCAGAAAGTATAGCTCTCGTCAGGAAAGCTATGGATGTCGACTTTGACAGTTTTACGAGCCCAAAGCCTCTTCCAGCTGGGGCAGTGTCCAGCTTGCAGTTGGGAGTCCGGACTTTGCTGGAGTGCTCCTGTGCATGCCCTTGATTCTTCAAATACCTGAGGCTGGACCCTTTGCATCGATGGTCAGGGTCAACGCCTCTGAGATCAACAACGGTCAGGACAAACATGTCAGTGACGTCAGCATGCAGCTGTCAGAGATGTCACTCCAGTCACCCTCACCTGTTTCTCTGTTGGCACCCCTGCAAGATGCACCCACTGAGGCTGCCCAATCAAAGGTTGAAGCTCCAGGTTGTGAGATGCAGGTTGCTGATGTTGTCAAGGTTGCTGAGGAATTGAACCCTGCAGCAGAGTCTCCCCAGGAGCCC